ATTACTGTTTCCTACTCCTACATGTCTGCGTCTGAATCATGTTCTGTTACAGCATCACAGCGACCTGGTGGTTATTGTTGTAAACCTAAAGAGAAATCTGAATCACTCTGATGAAGTAGTTCTGTACAGCAAGAGTGTAAAGAGCATGAAATGAGTTTCAACCTGGAGCGGAGTTTCCTGTTTAATTATTATGTATTTAAAACAGAGAGAATGTTTCCATGGATGCTGCCTGTTTTTTTTTTTTTTTTTTTTGCTCAAGGGAATCTCAAACCAAATGTTACTGTTGTGGGACCAAAACCAAAGTTAGTAGAATAAATATCACTGAAGCCTGGCTCCAGCCCTGCTCTGACTTCACTCACTGACACTTTGACCTTTTAACCCAGACGGTAGAGTAAAAAAAAAACCAAAAAAAAAACCTTGAACTTTCATAGCACTCCTTAATCTATGAGAGTCAGACTGGGAGTAGTCCTTAGTAACCACATGTAACCACAGCTCCATAGCACCGCTCAACATTGTGTGACTACATACACACACATATAAATATATATGTATATTTAAATATACATATATATACACATAAAGTTAATATACCTGTTTACATGTACAGTATATATTTATATACACACAAATACATTTATAAATATATATTTATGTACCTATACATATATACAGAAATATATTAATATATATATATATATATATATATACATATATACACATATATAAATATACCTGTTTACATGTACATCATATATGTACGTAAATATATAAATATATATTTATGTGCCTATACATACATACAGAAATATATTAATATACATGTTTACGGTATATATATATATATATATATATACCGTAAACATGTATATTAATATATTTGTCTATATATGTATAGGCACATAAATATATATTTATATATTTACGTACATATATGATGTACATGTAAACAGGTATATTTATATATGTGTATATATGTATATATATATATATATATATATATACCGTAAACATGTATATTAATATATTTGTCTATATATGTATAGGCACATAAATATATATTTATATATTTACGTACATATATGCTGTACATGTAAACAGGTATATTAACTTTATGTGTATAAATATATATGTATATTTAAATATACATATATATACACATAAAGTTAATATACCTGTTTACATGTACAGCATATATGTACGTAAATATATAAATATATATTTATGTGCCTATACATATATAGACAAATATATTATTTACAGTATATATGTAGAGAAACCACAGGCCGAGCAGCCTTTAAATCAGTTGGAGAGGTGAGGTGCAGATATATTTTAGACGGATGTAGAGGAGGAGGATGTGAAGAAGGTCAGAGTGAAGTGAGACGGTGAGTGGGCAGCCACATTAAAGCAGTCATCCAACCATCCAATATGGCCGACGCTCCTATTGATTGTTGCTGTTTGCGGTGGGTAGGTATGTAA